AGGGGAAGGACCCGGGGAGTACGAGCTTCTGCGGTAGGTGAGCAGACTTTGTCAGTGTGCATTTTTTAATATATATATTTTTTTTTAGCCTTAGGAGCCATCAGATTTCTGTTGCGTGCTCTGAAATTACTGCTGATGGCAATAAACAGACTCACAAGGTGGAAGCTTGTTTCTCAAGAAGTTTACTTTTTCTCTGATAGGCGTTGGTAATTTTTTATTATTTTTTTTTCTCCACTAATTAATGATCCAGCTGTTTACAGGGACAATTCACTGTGCTGGTATTTTGGTGGCAACCACTGCTACAGGCTTTCAGACTTGCTGAAATGAAAATCCTGCATACACATTTGTAAGGCATAATAAAACATAACATTAAAACCTGCATGCATGTTATGTTTAATCAAAGACAACTCTTAGGCATTTAAGTGGTGAGATATCTTACTTTAGGTTAGTTAAACTGGTAGTAAAATGATTAATATAATCTGATCTCTTTCTAATAATAAATAATAATAATAATAAAACACTCATGATTCTAAATAAAAGTTGTTTGGCCTAAATCTTTGCTATCAGAAAAGAGATAGAGCATATCCGGGAACTCAAATTGATGTCTTGCATTGTGATAATTCTTTATGAGAAACTGTGTTTTAAAACAAAATTAATTACAATATAAAAATATCCTTGGCAATGGATAGTCCTCAATAAAACAGAGTTTCTTGAATTTTCAGTTTTTTGGTCTCAAATGATTAGTGTGTTCTCCATGTAATAACTTAGAAATCAGATTGAAAACAAATGACATTTATCTCTTCTAAGGCAAAAGAGTGAAAGAAAATAGATACACTAAAGTGCTCTAGCCTAGCCATTCACTATCGTGCTATTGAAAATCCATTTTTGGGCTAGGGTGATGGAGTAAGTTGATCAGGTTCTAAGTCTTAAAACTGAGCCAAAATTCTCTTAGTAATTCTTCAAGCTATTATGAGAGTATGGGGACTTGTTCTACCAGTCCCTTTCTTCTGATATGCATCCTTGTTTATTAAAGTGATAATAGGCAGTGTCATTAAACATTTGTGCTTTACAGATGTTCAATGAGTTATGAATGATTATGGTCAAACATGGGCTGCATTTAGTTTGCATTGTAATAAGGTCTGTGTCTCAGCCTACGAAAGTTTTGACTTGCATATATTTTTGGAAGATGTTTTTAAAATTGCCATTTAAAATATTATTCAAGGATAACTGATTTAAAGGATCCAAGTATAGAGCAGTTAGGCAGATTTTAAGAGCAACAGGTCTACTTTAGTCAAAGAATATAATACCCACTCAGAAGTATATCTTTTTCTTTCTTCTAGATGGGAATTATACAATGCTATATCAGAGGAATATTATGAGTGAAGGTATATGGTGCAGGGAGACAATTTTTGTCCAGACAGTTGAGTTTCTTTTATTTCAGAGTTTTTTGTTGCATATTGCTCAAGGAAAAATTAGGTAGTGTTTTTTTTAAAGCCACTAC